GTTGTCTGTACTGTTGTATGTTCTCTGTATAGTGTGTGGTGTTGTCTGTACTGTTGTATGTACTCTGTATAGTGTGTGGTGTTGTCTGTACTGTTGTATGTTCTCTGTATAGTGTGTGGTGTTGTCTGTACTGTTGTATGTTCTCTTTATAGTGTCTGGTGTTGTCTGTTCTGTTGTATGTTCTCTTTATAGTGTCTGGTGTTGTCTGTACTGTTGTATGTTCTCTGTATAGTGTGTGGTGTTGTCTGTACTGTTGTATTTTGTCTGTATAGTGTCTGGTGTTGTCTGTACTGTTGTATGTTCTCTGTATAGTGTATGGTGTTGTCTGTATTGTTGTATGTTCTCTGTATAGTGTCTGGTGTTGTCTGTACTGTTGTATGTTCTCTGTATAGTGTCTGGTGTTGTCTGTATTGTTGTATGTTCTCTGTACAGTGTCTGGTGTTGTCTGTATTGTTGTATGTTCTCTGTATAGTGTCTGGTGTTGTCTGTATTGTTGTATGTTCTCTGTATAGTGTCTGGTGTTATCTGTTCTGTTGTATGTTCTCTGTATAGTGTCTGGTGTTATCTGTTCTGTTGTATGTTCTCTGTATAGTGTCTGGTGTTATCTGTTCTGTTGTATGTTCTCTGTGTAGTGTCTGGTGTTGTCTGTATTGTTGTATGTTCTCTGTATAGTGTGTGGTGTTGTCTGTATTGTTGTATGTTGTCTGTATAGTGTCTGGTGTTGCTTGTACTGTTGTATGTTCTCTGTATAGTGTGTGGTGTTGTCTGTACTGTTGTATGTTTTCTGTATAGTGTCTGGTGTTGTCTGTACTGTTGTATGTTCTCTGTATAGTGTGTGGTGTTGTCTGTACTGTTGTATGTTCTCTGTATAGTGTCTGGTGTTGTCTGTTCTGTGGTATGTTCTCTGTATAGTGTGTGGTGTTGTCTGTACAGTTGTATGTACTCTGTACAGTGTCTGGTGTTGTCTGTACTGTTGTATGTTCTTTGTATAGTGTCTGGTGTTGTCTGTACTGTTGTATGTTCTCTGTATAGTGTCTGGTGTTGCTTGTACTGTTGTATGTTCTTTGTATAGTGTGTGGTGTTGTCTGTACTGTTGTATGTACTCTGTACAGTGTCTGGTGTTGTCTGTACTGTTGTATGTTCTCTGTATAGTGTCTGGTGTTGTCTGTACTGTTGTATGTTCTTTGTATAGTGTCTGGTGTTATCTGTACTGTTGTATGTTCTCAGTATAGTGTCTGGTGTTGTCTGTATTGTTGTATGTTCTCTGTATAGTGTCTGGTGTTATCTGGTCTGTTGTATGTTCTCTGTGTAGTGTCTGATATTGTCTGTACTGTTGTCTGTTCTCTGTATAGTGTATGGTGTTGTCTGTACTGTTGTATGTTCTCTGTATAGTGTCTGATATTGTCTGTACTATTGTATGTTCTTTGTATAGTGTCTGGTGTTATCTGTACTGTTGTATGTTCTCTGTATAGTGTCTGGTGTTGTCTGCACTGTTGTATGTTCTCTGTGTAGTGTCTGATATTGTCTGTACTGTTGTCTGTTCTCTGTATAGTGTATGGTGTTGTCTGTACTGTTGTATGTACTCTGTTCAGTGTCTGGTGTTGTCTGTACTGTTGTATGTACTCTGTATAGTGTCTGGTGTTGTCTGTACTGTTGTATGTTCTCTGTATAGTGTCTGGTGTTGTCTGTACTGTTGTATGTTCTCTGTATAGTGTCTGATATTGTCTGTACTGTTGTATATACTCAATAGTAAACATTTAATTTTCATATATTAAATCGATTATGTTAATTAATATCATTGGCTGAATTTATTACAAATATTAATGGGATAATACACAATACTAATATCCATTCAATATGATATATTATCACCTGACGTGTTATATCAGTCCAACCATTTGTCATTATTGCTACCCATTGGTATAAAGGTATTATTTAAAGGGCATTGGTAATGAGAAGTATCCTTGCCATTGTGTAGTGTTGAAATGACAATACTCGTTTAGATGATTTGAAGGTCCTGTGCTAAGGTTCCGTGACAAAAAGAGCGACGTATCCACCTTGTTTCCTCCCTCTCATTTATCCGTCTGAGAGTTTCGTGAAACCGCGTGATTGACTTGTGGTAACAAAATTGCCGAGGCGACACAATGAGCACTTCGCCAATGTCTTAATCATAGTTATCCACGCAAACTAACGTCATATGTCTTAATAACAACACAAAGTGAGAGGTAGGATTGGTAATTATAGATCACCCCCTCATGTTTGACTGACACATCGAATTTCTAAAATCTTAAAATTGGAATATTTAACGGTCATCGTTCTGATATCATTGAGAAATATTCTTTTTCTGGGTTCGATTAGAGTCTGGACGTGTTTGTGTTCGTTAGTATGAATATCTGGTGTTTCTTGCTCGCTAGCATACCTATTGATGCCGATGTTGGTTATTTAAATCAATTTGGGAATATGACAATACGTATTTGGATTGATATTTGCATTGCTGGTGACGTCGACGAGCAATAGACGTTTACCCTTCCGGAACGCTTGCTCTTATTCTTACGTAATATTTTGATGAGTCTCGGAGTAAATCCTTCTGACAGTCATATTTTACTCTATTTTTATCAAATCTGTGTTTGAGTATTTGTGTCGTCAACTTGCCAGCATTTATGTTATTGTCGTTAAATTCACTACTCACCGTTGAGACAATATATTAATAAATGTGATAGGAATAACTTTAAACGCACTTTTTAATTGTGCATCTGTTGCGATGGTAAACAAAGTGCGCCCAATTTTGACAAAACAATAAATCTTACCTGTAAAACAATTGGTGACTCAATTAGTTTCCATATTCAGTGTATTTATGTTTCCTTATTAGTTCTGATATTATACTCGAATCCTGTAGCTGTGAAAAGTTATCACAACTCATTGGGGATCCTTAATATTCTAATACGCGTATCAAATATCCACTTTTTTTTTTTTTTTTTTTTTTGGGGGGGGGGGGGGGGGGGGGGTCCATTCTGCGCGCATGTTATGTTTAATGGTCGTTTACGATGATCTACGGTCACAGTAAGGTCACATGGGATTTGCAGTAATATTGTCTCTCCTCGCTCTGTGATAGTACATCTGTATGCGAGTCATCATGATGGTGAATGTGATTATTCTGTGATGCAATGAAGCCCTACTAATGCTTTCGGAGTTGTAGAGTTTGATAGTGTTACGTTGTATAGACAGTAGTTACACTATGTAAGGTATTGTAATATCACCTAAGCCCCTTTGGGGCCTGGGACGAGACAGCCAAGCGCGACTTCAGATTGGACCGATTTTCCCGTCCCACGCCCGGTGTGTGTCTTGTGATGTCCTTTTACTGTTATCTATCTGTTGACAAGAAAACCAAATCAATCTACTTTATTTATGCGTGACACACATATCATTCTAATAAAGCAGGAATTCAATTGATCCGGTTTAAAGTCTGTAGTGTGTGGCCGGTCAAGATCCTTTAAACACCACTCCCTTCGGCCTACAGGAGTATGTTGGGCGAAGACATTCGTCATATCTGTTCATGTTTCGTGGTAAATTAGATTTATTTAAATCACACCTTCACACAGAAAATCAACTCATGAATTTGATGATTTAATCTCATGTTTTAATTATCTTGATCAAGTCGATACCCTAAAACATATTCATGACTTGGACAGTCCAAGCTGAGCATGCATGTTTCCGCTAGGGTGTGTCTTGTTTGATAACATCAATGAGCGCCTCACTTGTCCCCGCGTTTACAAATTCAGCCGTAAAACATGTGTTTGTGATGGCGTGATTTGATATAACGGTTTATTCTAATAAACTTCAGTCATTAAGCTCGATGTCCCGTTGACAGACCGAAGTGGTTAAAGGCTTACACTGATCAGCGAGATAGAAATCTGAACTACCCTGACCTCCTCGTCCTTATGATGTTTTTGACTTCTGCTGAGGGTTATCTGATAACATTTATCTCTCGTAGGCGATACTCTTCAATGTGGAGTGTCTTAAGTCCGCTGTAATCAATGGTCAAAGACTGTGTTATAAAGAACGGGTCAAGTAATTTGTAACTATACTGAAGAAGATATCCAGTAGGTGTTAGAAAACAAACTAAATGAAATTTTGTACAAGTTTATCTTTATTTTTAATACGAACAAACAACAACAAAACATGTAATGGCAAATTCAAAGCCGATTCGCTCACATTCCCTAAACTACCTCTGCATAGGTTTCAACCGGACTAAATGGAACATATAAAGTATAGACGTTTGATATATCAATTCCCTTTCTTTGGATCTTAACTCTAAAATTACACCTTTTCATATTTATAATTTAATTCAATATGTCATGGTAATGGCCTGTTCGAGCTCTTATAGGCACCAGCAGCTCCTATACAAATATTTTTTATATACATGTAGATGTTTTTATTCTTCTAATTTATTTTAAGATTTAGTGCTAATCCATTGTTTATCGGGCTTGTAATTTTTTGCCTCGTGTGTGTGGAGTTGTCTTCCCGCAATCCGTACCCGCCACTCCCTACTCCATTTACGTGTTATTAATTAGCATATTAATCATAGTAGGTTCCTATTTGTCTCCAAATATTTTATAGGTATACAACAATTAACTTTTGTTTGGTCATGAATAAAAAAAATATATCACCGTATTCAAATCTATGTACACCCCATAGGAGTAATAAACATTCTTTATTACACTAATACATTTATGCATGTGTTCCGTCCGCGCCAGAAGCTTTGGTACGGTGACTGGCCAGGGATAGCAAGCAATAATTCTGGTGTATGTTTATTCAATGTTTCTTCCAATTGAAACATTTAATAATGTTTGGTCACAAATTATTCATTGAGTGGTATCGTCCCCCACTCCTGTTCACATCAGTCAAGCTGTCAAATCTAGGAAGGCCCCGGTTGTAGTCATTCATACCTACTCGGGCGTACTGGCCTTGCTGGTTTACTTTAATATCTGATATAGTCGGTATTTCACGAAGCAAAACCAGTATACGTTTATAGCGTTTTATGATTCCCGCTTACATAGGGCAGGGCCTAACTTTCTTTTTCTATTACATTGTGCCGTTAGCGCTAAATCCCACTGGGTTTATTAGAAACGTTTTTCTGCTTTTTATTTCCAGTGTGCTTTGTGTCATCCGCCTATGAGAAAGTTCTGCTACGAAGCCCTGTTTGCTTCAGAGCTCGTCAGTCAGTCGACGAGACTACACGGATGCTGAAGTCTACTAAAAGTAACCAGTAAGTTCCTGTGGAATTTAGAGGAAAAAAGAGATATCATATTCATGCAGTTGGAAAGAGATAAATACCTGGCGTGATAATGTATGTGTGATCTCATTCATCCTACAACAGTGTCATTTACTACTGAGAGAAGCGAAGTTTTATTAATAAGTCTATAGCGATCCAGCGTGTGGTGTCTCCGCGCTCTACAGTGAGGCGGAGTGTTGAGAGCCGAGTATCATTGGATCAATATACAGGAATAATAGTTTCTTTGCCAAGCTAAGGTGAGCCCGATGGAAAACGCTTTCATTTGGATTACACTGTCGACAATACCTAATACCTATTATTCAATAAACAACTCTAGCTAAATGTGCTCATATGGAGAACGTTTGTTTCAAAGCTTTCAATGGTTTCGTAAATCGGAAACATGGAATTACACAGACTTCTCTGTAGATACTATATTCTATTCTTCTGGATTATTCTCGACTGCTCACTTTCAATAGGTAAGTGCGATTTTTTTATTTACACTTTGATAATACACGTGTTCTTACGTAACTCTCCGTCTACATACATCTGCTGTGCAGGACGTACTTTAAGCTTTTTTGCTGCTATACAACATCGTACAAAATATTTACATAAAATAATTTCATAAGCCATTCATGTCACTTGTTACCAAATATGTGTTTCTTTTTATCGCAATTTTTACCAAGAAGAATTCTGAAGTTTTGACTTTGCATCATGTGATGAAAATAAAATGATATTTAGAATGGAAGGTTAAAGAAATAAGCTGAAAACTAAACTCGAGTACAATTAGGAATAACATGTACAATAACATTAATTAATGCTCACTCACTCATTCACTTCTCAGGGAGATTAACACGATCATTGTAAGCCTTAATATCCACTGTAATATTTAACGATGGTATATTTCTATTTCTAAATCCGAAAACAATGTATTCTATTGATCCTGTTAATTAAACAATAAGTCACGGTTTCCATTTTACTCTGTGGATTGATATGTATTTTTTTCTCTGCGTAAACGATTAAGGAGTTAAAAGGATGAGATTAATTTATTTAAAAGCCGTATTATGTAATAACTCCACTTAATGAATATCTCAAACAAAATACTTTTGTAAAATACACAGGATAAAAAGTGTTTTTAATATCGCATTGACATGTAAACATGATATATTGTATTAGTATCATTATGGTGTTCAGTCAACCTTTTAACATACTGAGCGTAAGAAAAAGGATTTTTATCAATGAAACGAGTGCTTCTGTTGGTGCGGTGTTTTGGACTAAACAAACGTAATTGGTGTCCTCAACATCAGTAGGTAATGGATTCGTCATTACAGTTGATGCCAAGCCTATAAAAGGATTAGTGATTATGTTATCTGTGTAGGGAAAACCTTTACTGGCGATCAGTCCATAAACGTACGTCAGTATATCGGAGTGCGATGAAATTAAACTGAAACATATATAAGTACCTACACGATTTTTAATGTATATTTTCTTTTACAAAATTATGTCTGTATAGTCAGGTATTTGAAAATAATATAAATACTTCAGATGTTAGACCTGTACAATATACGTTTGTAAACTAAAATGTATGTATGCACTCTAAACAAGCATTGCTGCGCAGTTATACGAGAGGTACAATTATCATGACAGATAATAAATTATATTAAATTTCTAACCGCAGTTTCACATTAAAAAACCGCGACTTTCATATTCACTTCTCGTTGTTTGATAATTCGTTATTACATTTGTAATAATAACAACATTCTATTTGTCATCAACATTTTTATACTTCAGTCTTTCGTCATTATCATCATAGAAACACCATACACGTAGTGAATTTTACAAGTAATGCATGCAATATTTCTTCTTAATGCAGGTTTAAGCCGAAAAAAAGCGTCGTTCAAAAAAGGTAAATCCAAAATGCATGATATATAATTTTGCCCCGAAATTTAGATGTATATATAGATAAAGAAACAGATGTGATGGTGATTCGCTTTGTTTAATTATCCCGTCTGCTTTTTGGTATCAGATTGTATCATCGCCTATACACAACATGCATGAACCTACACAAGACAAACTTCATTCTGTTACAACATTTGACTGTTTTATCATGTTCTACATGTAAATCTTGTTTTCGTTGTTAAACGTACCGTATAATTTGATACGCCAATTCTCCTAAGTGTTTCATATGCTTCCTTGTCACAAAACTGGAAGTAATTAATCACAGAAAAGTAACAGACAAAAACGTACTGTGAATTCAACTTGTATTTCAAATAGTTTATCAGCTGTAAGACCCAGTTTATATTAGATTTCTGTATATATCAATACTGCCTACTTGTATAGCTGTATGTCATGCCTGTTGTTTCATTAGACAAACATGTCATCAATATATTCCTCGTCCTAACTTCCTGTAACAACACTTCCGACATTCAGCATGAAATTTTGGTTCCAAATCTGCTCAATCACTCCTGTCGATATTTACAATTCGTATTGACTTCTTTAATGCCTTTGTGATAATAGATTTATTAGTGATAATTTCCGTTTAGTTTGCAGTATGTGGCTGTTCAGTGTTGGTATATTAGTATACATGATTACCTTAAGGGCTTTTAACTGAACTCGCAACCAGATGATAACTATAACACTCTTCGTGTTATAAAATACTACTCAGCCTTTTTTGAATACTTTTCTGACATTTTCTTGGGCAACCATTAATAGTAGCAGTATGTCTAACATACAGATTTCCCGTATAATCAAGATCTCTGAACGTGTTCTACACTTGTCAGGTCTTAGCCACTTTGCTCCACCTTTCTACGAGCTTCTAACCAGACTACTACTTTTGAGGTGTCAGTTTTGGAAGGGGCTTTTTACAAGTTGGTTCGGTAGGCTTTATATACAGCTAATAGCTGTATATGATGTCACTGCTCTGTATGGAAGGGGGACTACACATTCACATATAAATGAACATATGTAGGGGAAGATATGTTTCGCTGTTGTTCATTGTAACATTTAATAGTCACCATTGTGAAATCATAAAGACTTTATTTTTAATATATATATATAAAAATCAATCACTGTAAGTATAAAATATTATTATTTCATTAAATATATATATACATGTATATCACCCCGTCACCGTGGCTAGGTAAGAAGGGACTGAACTCAGACCGGGTAGACTTAGACAGGAAAGTCATTAGCACACATATAGTAGGTTATATATTTCACATTATGTCCCGTATTGATCAGCATTCGAAAAAATATTTCACATAAATGTGTCACATTCCCAGTGGTATTAAATAGGAATTAAAGGCCTACGGATAATGATATTCAGAAGCTTATCAATATTAATTCCATATTTGGAACGGACCAGTGTGTTACATCGTCACAGTTGTGTTATTGTATATGAATATCAACGAGAAACGGACTATAGGAGGACGTACATATCGTTCAATATCGTGTACGAGAGCATATTTCTTGTCTTAAAGAAAATTATCGAGATGTATATAATTTTCACTTCAAATAAATGTATATTTATAAAACTGAAAAAATAGAATCCATTTATCAGTAAAGGGTTGTGTTAAAAAACCTGGTTTATTTGAATCAAAGCACATATGTGGCGATCGCCTGTTATAACAATATGTTTTATTTCTAAATCATCAGCATACATATCAAACTGTATCAGACAATATGTTGCCTGTGGTAACTCGTTGATGTCTTCTTATTGATTTTACTTAAGAGTATTTGTTTTTAGAATGCTGATGAAACATATTGATTCGCACGTGAAATGTAAATACCTCTTAATAAGGTGTTTCGTTGTACTAATCGTAGTATCTAATAATATATACATATATCTAGTATTTCTAACATTGTTAATGGTGAAATCCATGACGGTACTAGATGTAAATCGGATATATATATACTAAAAATCTCCCTGTACTGATGGATATTGATGAACATTTGTACTTATAAAACCACAATACATCTTAAGTTGAGCTTTTTGTAATCATGTTTAAAAACAAAAACATAAATCTACATACGTGAACGGAGAATTAAGTCGGAGTGAAGATACATATGCACCATACATATAATCATATATATTTTTATTATACTATATATAATATTCCACAACGATTTATCTACTACACGTCCTTTTTTAGGAATATAATTCTAAACACAATTCTCTACTTTCATTTATGTTTATATTATTCCACTGTAATTTATATATCATACTTACTATTATATATATATACATATCATACTTACTATTATACATATCATACTTACTATTATACATATCATACTTACCGTTATATATATCATACTTACTATTATACATATCACACTTACTATTATATATATCATACTTACTATTATACATATCATACTTACCGTTATATATATCATACTTATTATTATATATCATACTTACTATTATACATATCATACTTACTATTATACATATCATACTTACCGTTATATATATCATACTTACTATTATACATATCATACTTACTATTATACATATCATACTTACTATTATATATCATACTTACGTTATATATATCATACTTACTGTTATACATATCATACTTACTATTATACATATCATACTTACTGTTATATATATCATACTTACTGTTATACATATCATACTTACTGTTATATATATCATACTTTATACATATCATACTTACCGTTATATATATCATACTTACCATTATACATATCATACTTACCATTATACATATCATACTTACTATGATACATATCATACTTACTATTATACATATCATACTTATTATTATACATATCATATACTGTTATACATATATTCTTACTGTTATACATATCATACTTACCATTATACATATCATACTTACTGTTATATATATTATATACTGTTATACATATCATACTTACTGTTATACATATCATTCTTACTGTTATACATATCATACTTACCATTATACATATCATACTTATTATTATACATATCATACTTACCATTATACATATCATACTTACCATTATACATATCATACTTACTATTATACATATCATACTTACCGTTATATATATCATACTTACTATTATACATATCACACTTACTATTATACATATCATACTTACTATTATACATATCATACTTACTGTTATATATATCATACTTACTGTTATACATATCATACTTACTGTTATATATATCATACTTACTATTATACATATCATACTTATTATACATATCATACTTACTATTATACATATCATACTTACCATTATACATATCATACTTACTATTATACATATCATACTTACCATTATACATATCATACTTATTATTATACATATCATACTTACTGTTATACATATCATACTTACTGTTATATATATCATACTTACCATTATATATATCATACTTACTATTATACATATCATACTTACCATTATACATATCATACTTATTATTATACATATCATACTTACTGTTATATATATCATTCTTACTGTTATACATATCATACTTACTGTTATATATATCATACTTACTATTATACATATCATACTTACCGTTATATATATCATACTTACTATTATATATATCATACTTATTATTATACATATCATACTTACCATTATACATATCATACTTACTATTATACATATCATACTTACATTATACATATCATACTTACTATTATATATATCATACTTACTATTATACATATCATACTTACCGTTATATATATCATACTTACTGTTATACATATCATACTTACTATTATATATATATCATTATACATATCATACTTATTATTATACATATCATACTTACATTATACATATCATACTTACTATTATACATATCATACTTACTATTATACATATCATACTTACTATTATACATATCATATACTATTATATATATCATACTTACTGTTATATATCATACTACTATATATATACATATCATACTTACTATTATACATATCATACTTACTGTTATACATATCATACTTACTATTATATATATCATACTTACTATTATACATATCATACTTACTATTATACATATCATACTTACTGTTATACATACCATACTTACTATTATATATATCATACTTACTATTATACATATCATACTTACCATTATACATATCATACTTACTATTATACATATCATACTTACTGTTATACATATCATACTTACTATTATATATATCATACTTACTATTATACATATCATACTTACCATTATACATATCATACTTACTTTATACATATACTGTTATACATATCATACTTACTGTTATACATACCATACTTACTATTATATATATCATACTTACTATTATACATATCATACTTACTATTATACATATCATACTTACTGTTATACATATCATACTTACTATTATACATATCATACTTACTATTATACATATCATACTTACTGTTATACATATCATACTTACTGTTATATATATCATACTTACTATTATACATATCATACTTACTATTATATATATCATACTTACTGTTATATATGATACTTATTATTATACAATTATACCGATATTATTCCACATTTATTTATACATCAATATTTTATATTCAGTATTGAAAATGTATATACCATACTCTCATTTTACTATTATATAAATTTGTATTGATAATATATAAATGATATTCTACAAAATCTATATACCACACTTACGACCATATACGATGTTCATTACTGTTGATAATATTCCACAGTAACATGATAATAGACTTGATTGTATTGTGTACATTTCCTAAAAGAGCAATCTAACAGCATGAAATATGAATACTTCTAAAACGACATCTCATGTCATTTCTATAAATGAGCAAAACTTTGCATATTTGCATTGCAAAATTTCACTGTAAATTGAT